ACGACCTGGAGAAAAAGAAGATTATCAAGAATTTTAAACAATAATGAAAAAATGATGTTAGGATTATGATGAGATCAATGTACAATAAAATTATTCTTTGATGACATTAGCAATATTTTAAACAGACACATGCACACACACACACACTGTAACAAAGTAAAAAATCAAAATGATTGACAATTGATTTTTTCTTTAGAACCATAAAACAAAACTACAGAGTATATCTCCTTTTACTTTGCATTTAAAACGTCATTTGCAGATCATCATCATCATCATGTGATCCTGGATTTTGTTTTCACCTTTCTAACCATCAATTTCTAACTGTTTTTTTCTACTCTCACTGTTATGGCTAGTGTCTTTGCTTATTAATTCTTTTTTGTTTGGAAAAAAAACAACAACAAAAAATCAATCGAAATGGATTCAAACAGGAATAGAAAAAAATCATATTAACATATATCGGATAGGAATATATTTTTTGGAAAAATCAACAAAAATGAATTTGTTGCCCTTGATATGCATGCTATCATTGTGAATAAGCGTGCAATACGTATATAATGCAATAATTCATATACATTCACATAATATTTGTCCTTGAATTTTCATTTCATTTCATTTCAATGATTAACACACAAAAAAAATAAGTTAATTATATTGGCCAATGGCCAAGATTTCTTTGTTTAGTTTTCCAGTACACCCATCCATCCTTATGTGTTAATTCTTTCATACAGTTCATAAATCATAATGATGAACTTGCAAAAAAAAAATTTATTTTTTTTCACCTTCTGATTCTTTATATATTTCTTAATTTTAACTTAATTTTCTCAATTTGTTTGCAATGCAAACGTTTAAGAATATAATATCCACCTACACACACCTACACACATATCAGTATTTGTTTGTTTGAAAAATACCCAAGAAAAAAACCAAAAAGAACCAAAACAACATTAGATTTCAATATCGATCCAAATAGTAAATAATATGCTTTTCTTATCTCATTATTTATGCTTTTTTTCATATTATCATCATCATCAAGATCATTATTATTACTATTATTTAGATGAGAGAGAGAAAAAAAAATCCTATTACATACAATTGTCATCGAAATAATCAGAAACAAAAAACAAAAAAACAATGATAATGATAATGATTTGTTTTGTTTTTGTTTTTTGTTTCATATATGTGAAACCGGTTCGAATGGTACATTCGATTTCATTATTACTTTACCAAATTTTTCTTCTTAAACTCGTGATTATTATGCCCACCATCAATATTATTCCCCCATTTAAAAAAAACGAAAAACCTACGATATATAACGAAATATTTAGCCAAAAAAACTTTTTTATAAGTTTTTTGTTGTTATCGTTGTTGTTGTTATTTGGCGTCTATGGCGACCATGGTTTCATTTTATATATTTATCTAAGAAATGAAAAATTTCTTTGTTTTTTTTTGTTAAATGGATCAATTTTAAAATTCGATTTTTGTCAAGCACAAACGAACGAAAACGAAAAAAATTTTCCCTCTATTCTCAACCTCATCTATATACATAGATTGTTGTGAAGAATATAAAATTGGGGAGGAAATTTTCTTTTTTTGAAAGAAAGAAAGAACAAAAATAAATAAATCAATCTCACAAGACAATGATTGAAGGCTTTTTTTTTTTGGTTGTCATATTTGGAACCCATTCTATGGTGGTGTTTTTCTTCTTTCTTTCTTTCTTCTTTGGTTATTACCAGTCTCCAGTTTTTTTTTCTTCTGTCATTTATCCGGAAACCTTACCTAACCAACTAGAGAGAAAAAAGAGAAAGAAAATTCCATTCTTTCTGATTATTATTATTATTCAATTACTAAAGTTTGATTCGTTCATACCGTTTTTCACATAACCGATATATGATATTTTGGCTTCTAGTCTGTTCATTTGTTTGCTTATCATTGTTTTTTCAAACAAACAAACTCAAATTGAAATCAAGAATTGGATTACCCCGTTTTTGTTTTTTCCATCTACATCAAAACATTGCTTGCAGAATTTTTGTTTGTTTGTTTGTTTTTTCCAGCGGTTTCAAGTGATCAATATAATCAGCAAAAAAAAAGTTTTTCTTCTCAATTAACATCGAATGGTTATGATTTAAATTTGTAATCAAATTATAGTAACAAAAAAAACCAAACAAAACCAAAAAAATGAGTAAATTTCATATGAGTTCAACGGATTATGGCCAATCAGTTGGCGGTAAAGATAAAATTATTTTGGCCGAAGGTTATCTTCCAACAAATAAAATATTTAAAATCGATCAATATTTACGTATGTTTGGCTTTTTATCGCAAAATATTGATGAATATCTTCAGGGTAATGTACGTGGAAAAATTAAAAATCCATCAAAACGAATGTATAGTTTTTTGGTTGTTGCATTATTGTCATTTGTTTGTTTCCGTAATATTATACTTGTATTTACTGAAAATATTACATTACGTAAATTACTTGGTGAACCACAAAGTGGAAGACCTGCCGATCAAATATTAATGTCAATGACAATATGGTCAATTTATCTTGCACTATTAAGTCGATTGTTTTATTTTGGTGAAAAGAAACAATTATTATCATGGTTAACACCATTTGCTGTATTTAAAGGACTTATTTCACCATCAAGTATTGGTCTTGATGTTGGTATGACTGATGAATGGTTTCGTAAAACTAAAAAAATGTTGAATAAATCAATACTTTTGACCAATCTTCAAGCATTATTATGTATGTCAATGTTCTGTGTAATGGCATATCGTCGTCATCATACACATTCAGTACCATCAAGTAGTTCAATATTTTGGACTATTATACTTTGTCTTTGGACATATTTCGGTAGTGCATTGATATTTGTTAGCTATAGTTATTTTTATACATTAGCCACCTATTTTCGGCTTCGTTTCCGAAAAGTTAATAATGATATTGAGACAATTATTTCACCTGAAACACGTCTCAAACCAAATGAACGTTGTGCAATGTTATATCATATTCTTTGCGAACATAATAAAATTTGTGTAGAAATTCATGGTAAATATTTATTCTTAATGTTTTTTTTTCTACATATATTCTATATTTTTAATCATTTTATTTACAAAATTATTTTTTTTTATAAATATAAAGATTATAATCGTTTCTGGTCCAAATATATAATGCAAACATATTTTCTGTTTGTTGCAATTATTTGTTATACATCATTTCAAGCATTCTTTACATATAATACAAATACTGTTCGTACAGTTATGTTTGCCATGACATTAGAAGCTTGTTATCTTCTTACACGTGTATCGATTGCAGCATCACGTATTGCAAATGAGGTAAATGTTTAATTTAAAAAAAATGAAAATTTTCTTTTTCTTAAAATTATTATTAATTACAACAATTAGGCTCATGCATCATATGGTCGATTGATTCGTGTTACATTCAACAAATATCCGGTTGAATTACAAATACAGGTATTGATTTAAAAAAATCTAGATTTAACCAATCATTAATTATAACATTCGATCATTATCTAGCTACGAATGTTTATTCAACGACTTTCAGGTCCTACAATTGGATTCTATTGTTTGGATATATTTGAAATTACATATTCAACATATGCTTCGGTTTGTATTTTGGTTTTTGTTCAATGTTAAACTTTCTTTCAATCTTTCTTTTTTTTATGAAAAAAAAATCCAGATTATTGCTGCACTTGGACAGAATTTCTTGTTGATTATTGATTTTGTACGATCATATGCGCAATTAAAAGAAGAACATTATACATCAAGTGATTTAGATATAAGCGATGTATTTAATTCAACAATCGATTTCAATTCATTAATCAATGATGAAATTCAATTTGTTCAGGAAAAATTGCTTTAAACAAGAGAGAAGAAAAAAAATTCAGAAAATCATAAAAAGTAAATAACGAATATATCTCATCAATTACACATCATTTAAAATGTTTCAATATTTGAAAAAAACGAATAACCAAAAAAACAACACAAACACACATCATTCAAAATCATTTTACACACAATCACCCTACACACATACACATCAAGGAAAATTAGTTTCATATTTGCACCAGGTGTTTAACTACTAATAAAAATAACCAAAAAAAAAATCAACATTGCACTGATTGATTGATTAATTGAAAAATTCAATCATATTGCTTGTTTTAACATTATTAATTTTGACAAAAATTTATTTATTTATTTATTTGGGTAATAAGAAAACAAACATTTAGATTAACAAAATAAAATTTATAATAAAAAATATAATAATGGTCCAAACGAAAGAAAAATTCAATAAATCAATCCAAGATGAGTAGTTGTTTATCATGATTATTATGATCATTATTTTTTGAATCAAAATCAAACCAATTATCAATCGATTTTGTTGTTGTTGTTGTTGTTGTATCCATCGTTGTATATTCTGTTGTTTTACATTGTGTAGTTGAATTGTTTGTTGACGATGATGATGATGATATTAGTATTTTTTGCTGTATCCATCTTTCATATGCATTAATAAATGCTTTTGAAATAGTTAATGCTATTGATTTGGCTATTTTTGTTTTATCTGTCATAAATGCATGACATTCATGACAATTATTATCATTTGTAGCAACAAATGCAATAATACGTTCATATGTTGAATCAACAAAACAATATGATATTCTGAATAATTTTTATAAAGAAAATGAGAAAAGAAAATCGTTAATTTGTTATAATGATAATTTCTTTTGATAATAATATACCTATTTAATGAGATTATTATTGGTTGACAAACATTATTATTATCATTATCATTATTATTATCTAATTCTTCAATGATAATTTGATTTGGTTGAATAGATAATGATATTGATTTATTACATTTTAAACGGCTTTTCTTTTTTATAATAATAATAATAATTTTTAAAAGTTATTAGTTAAATGAAATTAGTAAAAAAACAACAACAACAACATACCATTGACATCATTTGTCTAATTGCTTTGGCATTTGTTGATGCACCTGATGGACTTTCTACAGGCATATATCCAAGATATTTACAATAAAATATTGATCCATCATTTGATAATTCTTCAAATAATTCTAAATTTTAAAAAACCAAGAAAAATTTGGATAAAATTATCAATTTGTTTACAGTTTGTATACTAACTTTCATGTTTAAAATTTGATATTTTATCAGCTTTTTTTGTTGAACGAATTGCTTTCCAAATTGAAGTCATCTTTTTTTTGATTACAAAGACCGAATGACAATGAGATTTACAAAATTGACAATTTAGAAACAAAAAATTTTCAAATGACAAAAATGGAGAAAAAATCTTCTTTGTTGTTTTTGTTGTTGTTTCGATGTAGATCATCCACTATTATCATTATCATCAACAGACTCAAAAAGGACAGGAAAGAAAAATGTTTGCAAATCAATCAATCAACAGCAAAACACTAACAAATGAATGAATTATGGATGCAAACAAAAAATAATCAAACATTTAAATCAAAACAAAAAAATCGTTTGAATTTAAATACAGACACTACATATATATGCATAATTTATGTCTGTATTATGATTTGGATATATTCATACAAATGATAAACATTATCGTCATCATTATCATCAAACATTGATGCATCCAAGTTTAACGATGCAATTTCATATCCTTTACATTTGAATTGAAATTCTCATCATCAACATTGCAATAAAAAATGCATTCATTTTAAAAAAACAACAACAGCTTTCGTTGTAAAAAATTGTTTTTACATTCACTAATAATGATAATCGTTGATAATGAAAATATTCATACATGCAAAGCATATATAGGAAATAATAATAATAAAATGAATGGGGAAAACGCAACAAACAAGAATTTTATTTTAAAATACTAAATTTTTCCTTTTCGTTATGAAAAAATACATCACAATTTGATAGATTGCTTAGATTGCATATATGAGAAACAGAAATAAAAAAAAAATTTACTTCAAGATCACGGGATTAACATCATCATCATCATCAAGAAGCATCAGCAAAAAGATTATAAGAATGAATTACACACACACACACGCAAAAAATTGATGCGCAGCATTTTTTTTCTTTAACAGACAGAAAAAACTACAAATCAAAATTCTTCAACAAGATTTTTAATAAATTAATTGCTTATTATAAACATAATGATTTTTGATTTTATTTTTATTTTAAATAAAAAAAAATTTATCAATAAAAACATCCGTTTCATTGGGGTAGGGAAAATTACAAACAAACGAAAATTCTAGTTCAACAAATTACATTTTTTTTTCGGATGATAAACACACAATGAACAATATTCATTTCCATTGATTATTGTTAAACATTCACCATGATATATATGGTGACAATTTGGAAAAATTTTTAATTTTTTTCTTATTTTTACATTTCCATTTTCATTGTTATTATTGGAAGATGATGATAATAATAATAATTTGTTACATTTATTGCATCTAATTTTACTTAGATTTAAAATCATTCCATTATTTTTATAATTATTCATTTTAAAATTTTTTTCATTTTTATCTGGTTTCAATGATGGTTCCAATGTTTCTAGTATTTGTTTCAAAAATTTTTTTGTATTTTTCTCCGAATTTTTTTCTGGATCCAGATCATAATTTTTATTGATTTGTTTTTGACTTAATTTATTGATCAATAATCGTATATCATTTGTAATTGATGAATCCATTATTTGAAAATATAATATTTTTATATATAAATCAATACTTAATTTATATGATTGTTTTGGATTAATATCAAATAATTTTAATATTATTATAATCAATTCATTGATTATATTATGATCATCACTATGGTAATGTAAATGAATGGAGATGAAAAATTTTTCAAAAAATTCGATCCATTTATCAATATTATCATTATCATTATTATTTTGTAATCTTAATGAACACAGGCGACATCTATTATTTGATTGTTCAATCATATTATCATTATTTAATTGATTGGATGATTTTAATTCATTAAATAAATTTATTAAACAATTTTTCCAATGAATAATATTATCAATGGATTTAATTCGTTGTTGATGTTGTTGTTGTTCAATAAGTTTAAATGAATCATCATCATCATCAATCAATGTTGAAATGAATAGAAAACGATCATCTAATTTTGGTAATGCAAATAATAATTGAATATACATTAACCAATTTTGTTTGGATTTTGATATCGATATTAATTCTTCATAATGTTCATTATCAATATTTGAATAAATTGATTCAAATATCAATTTATTTGATGAATTCAATAGATCAATGTTTTGGAAATATTTGGCAATTGGTAAACCACAATAAAAACAATTGTATGCTTCAAAATCATCATTATCATCATGATTATTATTATGCAATGTTGATGATCTTAATTTTGTTCGAGTAGTTTTCCATAAAAGTTGATCATATAAATTTAATAGCTGTTTATTTATTATCAAAGAAGATTCTGGAATAATTTCTTTTTCATTTATTATGAATGTTTCTTGTTCAACATTATTTGGATCACTTGAAAATCCACTAGATATAATAGCTGAATTTTGAGTTGCAATATCAATCGATAATAATGAACTTGATTTCGATGATGATGATGATGATGATGTAATATCATGATCTGTATCTTCTACATAAAATGAAAATAATAATAAAATTCTTTTCTTTATTAATATTGAAATTAATATCTTAGGCTTACTTTTAATATTTAATGTCATTATAAACATCTGTAACCGGTTTGTTGTATCATTTGTTCGATAATATGATATATAAATTTCATTTTGTAAACATTTTAGTTCATCAATTTGACCATCGAATTGTTGACTAATAGCAACCAATGATTGATCATGAATATCAATTATATAGATACGACTTTTATAAATATTTTTTGATTCTATTAATGTAGTTGTTGTTGTTGTTGTCGTATAGGTAACCAGATAATAATCACAGGAAATTGGATGATACATTAAATAAAGTTTTCCAAAACTATGTATTTTTTCGTAATTTTGTTGTTGTTGTTTGGAATTATTTTGAGAATCTTTTCGATTAAATATATCAGTATTATCTAGATAAAGTAGGAAATTAATTTTATGAAAAAATTCTATTATTATTAATGATAATATAAATTTTAATGATAAAATTTACCATTCAATATTGGTGTTGTATTATTATCATCATTATCATTATCATTATCCAATGACGAATTGACTAGATCCATAAATTGATGAGTATATTCAATTTGTCCAATTTCATTTACTTCCCAAAGACGAAATTTTGGACGTGATATGAATGTTTTGTATAAAATATTATTGGATATTGTTGATGATTGATCATCATTATTATTGTCATCATCATCGTCAACGTCATTTTCATTTTCATTTTCATCATAATTAATAATCGGTATTATACAAACACCGGGTGGTTTATTCATTTGTACAATAGATTTACCAACTTGAAAACAATTAGCATCGTAGAAATTAAAAAAATAAATACGATTTTCATTTGATGAAAAAATAAAATATTTTTCACAAATATCAAATTGATTAATACCGATTCCATTTAGATTGATTAAAATTGTTGGACATTTATGCATATGATTTATCGAATTCGAAGTAGTATTGTTTGTAATCGAATTGATTATCAATTCATTCACATTGCTAAGAATAAATAATTTTCCACTTGTATCAGCAATGAAAAGTCTAGAAAACAAAACGGAAACCAAATGATAAAATTTGATGAGAAAACAAAAAACAAAAACAAGAATTGAATAAATTCTAATCTTTGAAACATGAAATAATGAATTAGTTCAGCAAAAATAAATCGGATCAAAACAAAGAAAAATGACCATAAACAAAAATGGATCGATAATCTTTTTTCATCTATCTTTTAGTTGATAATAAATTCACTGTTTGTCTATGTGTGTTCATCATTAGCAATCATTCGTGAATTGCCAAAAATGAAAAAAGAATGGTTTGAATGAGAAATGGAAATAGAAAAATCAAAAATTGAAATCGATTTGCTAAACCTAAATGTTTCTTTGTTGTTGTATGGTTTCTGCCCTTCACTTTTCCGTTTTATTATCAACAATGACATCCTCCTCATCATAGCTTTTTGGTGTAAGTTTTTTCAATAGAATCAAGAATAAAAGAATTGAAAACAAAAATAATAATAATAAAAATAAAATAGATATGGTTACCGATTACCAAATTCATCGAACCGAATCATATTGATCGGTTCGGTAGTCATTTCACGACAATGATAAATTATATGAAATGTATGATTTGTATTGGACATTGCTGATGCTGATGCTGGGGTTGTTGTTATCTTTATTTTATCATTAAAATTTATCGATAGATCATCATCATCATCATCATCATCATTATTATTATTATATTCTTCAGATGACATTTTTGGTTCAAAAATTTTTACCAAAATTAGATGACCTTTTGTTGTACCCAATGATAAGATTAAATGATGCTTATTATTATTATTATTATTGCCATTATTATTTGTAACAATAATATTATTATTAAGAATATTTCGATGATTGAGTGGACGATGATGATGATGATGATGATGATTGTTGTCATCATTATCATCGACATTATTATTTATATTTGATCTAAAATTATCATCATTATAATAATGATAATATTGTTGTTGTTGTTGTTGTTGTTGTTGATGTTCAAATAATATCGATCCATCATTATCAGTCGTATTTGATATAAAACTTCCTGTTGATGATTTAAATGAATCAGAATAATAATTCAATGATAATTGAATTGATATTTGAAAAAAATGTATAGTTTTTATTATACCAACAATATCATTTGCAATTATTGTTGTATAATGTGACCAATAATATGATGATGATGATGATGATGAATTTTTTTGTGAAGGATTATCAAGAATATCGTTATTATATTGTTGTTGTTGTTGTTGTTTTATCATCAATAAATTTGATGATGATGATGATGTTATCGATGATATTGATGGTGATGGTGAAATTAAATCATTTTCTTTTATTTTAATTGTATTTTGTTGTTTATAAATATTTTTTTCATTTAAAAATGATTGAAATGTTCTATAAAATAAATAAACAGAACCACTGGTTGTTCCTAATGATAATATTGTTGGTTTTGATTTTTGGTTGTTTTCATTATTCAATGATGATGATGATGATGGTAAAGGATAAACATCCCAACTTGTATAACGTAAACGACGACGACGATTATAATTTGTTCGTTGTTTTGAATTATTTGGAATTGCCAATGTTGATGATGTTGTTGTTATTGGTCTTTGTATATCTTTATCAAGATCATATATTTCAAAATAAATTCCTGGTAAATCATTTTGATTATCCGGATCATCATTGGTTGTTTTATTTGTAATAAATTCATTATTTTTATAATTATTATGATGATCAATACCGGTATCATCATTATTATTATTATTATTACAACCGGTTATTATAATATTATCAAGATTAATTTTTTTATAATCATCATTTTGATGATGATTATGATTCATATCATTAAACTCCATAACATTATGATGATGATGATGACCGTGTTGATGATGGTGATGATGTTTATGTTGATTTTGTATTAAAATAATTGTCATATTATAATATGTTGTTGTTGTTGTTGCTGTTGTTGTTGATGTTGGTCGACCAGAAAACAAAACAATGTGGAAAATTTCTCTATGTTGCTCAAATTTTTTTGTTTCGTTTCAAGAACAAACAAAACGATTTGATGATGAGTGGTAAAATATGTTGAGCAAAAAAAATTTTTGAGAACAGAAAAATCCAATCGAAACATGGATGAATTTATGTAGAAAAAAATCAAACTTGTTGTTAGAAGAAGAAGAAAAAAGAAGAAGAAATGATTGATTGATTGATAAACATAAAAAATGTTAGCCAAAACGTTATCATTCCTTAATATATTTAGCTATGTTGATTGTCAAACATTTTATATTACCATAGTATCCATATCATGATCATGATCATCATTATCATTATCATTATCATTGACTATAGTCATCAAATCAAATCAAATCAAATCATAGAAAATATGCATTTTTTTTACTGTTGCTGTGATTATTCATTCAATTAATCAATCATTAACAAACAGGGAACAAAAAACATAACTGATGAAATAGATTTTGTTGTTGTTGATCGTATGCAAGAAACGCAAGAAATTTTTCGAAATTTTTAAAACAAAAAAGTTTCTTTCTTTATTTTTATCAATTACATCGATAATGACAAATGAAAAAAAAATGATGAAAAGGAAATCGTGTGCCAGTTGTGTGTGTGTTCGTGTGATTATGGCCATTTTTTTTTGTTATTTGGATTCGATGAGATAAATATTGATGACAGAATGTTTTTTGGTTTTATCATTTTTTTTTTGTTTGTTTGATGATGATTTGAATTTGTAACAATGGGTTTTTATTGTCTGTTTGTGTATGTTTATGTCTGTTTAGTTATAAAATCAAAAAAAAAAAAAAATATCAGTCAATACTTTTATCCAAACGTTTTTTATCCGGATAATCTTGATAACATTTTAAATGATGAATTTGTTCTAAATCAGTTTTTAATGCAATTTGCATTGAACCACGTTCATCCAATATTGCATAACCAGTTATTGGATTAACACAATAACAATCAGTATTTGAACATTGTAATGGTAAATAATTTCCATTTATATCACATTGATATTTACTAAATAATTCGGTTATTTTATCACGTTTTCTTATATCACGAATAAGATTTTTATTACGTAAACAGGCTAAATATTGTTTGGATTCAAATGAAAAAAAAATGATAATTCTCAATTCTTAATTTTTCAAATCTAAAAATGAATGAATGAATGAATGAAAAATGATAAACTTACTACATTGTTGTGTTGAACCAAAATATTGATCATTACGATCGATACCATAATCAAATCTTTTTCCATCAATTGTTCCTCTATATTTTTTACCTTGTTTATTTACACAATAACACCTAAGAGTTTGAAAAATGATAAAACAAAAAAACAAAACAAAATGACAACCAAAACGAAAAGATTTATTTAGTTTTTTTATGTTTAGATTTGTTTATCAGTAATTTTTCATATGAATAATGTTGAAATATCAAAACATTATTACGATAATACATACTTATTATTTTCACATTGTATTGGTGCATATGTACCATCAAGATCACAATTTGGTAAATCAAATGCAACAACATTATAACCATTTTCATTTTGTAATTTATAATATTCATTTACAGAATTATTATATTTTGATATACAGCTATCATCACTACGTTTGAATGGATATCGATGGGAATCTTTTTTGTTGAATTTTTTGTTGAATTTTTGAGTTTTTGTTAGTTACATAGCGAAAAAAGAAGAAAAAAATGAAAGAAATTGCGATGAAAAAAAAAGAGATAAGAAAATGAAAAATACAGAAAACAAAAGTATTTAGTAAAGAAACAACAAGAAAATCGGTATTCTTCTACAGATTCTTTTTTACTGATTTGTTTTGACAAATGGTTTTTCTTTTTTTTTTTTTTTTCTTTTTTCATTTCAAATAATGTCTGTTACATAATATAAATGTTATAAAAAA